TGTCCGGCTCTTTTATTAAAACGTTCCCCTTTTTCAGGGCTATTACACCAACAGGTATGGCGACAAGCTCACAGAGCTCTACAAAAAAACCCTCTGCTGTGTAGTCCAGTTCAGCTAATTGGCAGAAGACTCTTGCACCTACGTAAGGTGTGGCTGTCCACCAGAGACCTCCCATTCCAAGTTGAGAGCTGCAAATTGGCTCCTTACTTCATTGGACCCTTCCCCATACCTAAGTTAATCAACCCAGTGGCAATTTGTCTCTTTCTCCCCAGGACCCTTAGAGTCTGACCCACCTTTTATGTGTCCCGAGTCTAGCTGCTTTCTATGTCCCGGCTCTTCGCAGTCCAGACATGAATCAAGTTCTAGTGACATTTCTAAAGCTGTCTCATCTGACAGGGAATCAGAGGCAATAGTAGGATGGATGGTGTGAATTTTTGCTCTAATTGAAATAATTTTATTTGTAGTCTCATGAACTTATAGCTGTGGGAATACATGGTTCAACAGATGGAAGAGGACTTAGGAGAGAGGTGGAGATGTGCACTCGAAAGAAGAGGAATTAAAATAAAATAAGCTGTAGTAAGGCAGAGTACATGTGGACACACAATGAGGCTACAAAGTTCAGTGGTCACAATGGTGCAGAACTTCAAGTACTTGGGGTCCAGGAAAATGTAAAGTGTGGCAAAGAGGTGAAAACAAGAGTCAACGCAGGATGGAGAAAAGTTTCATGAGTAATATGTGATAAAAGGGTGTCAATAAAGGTCAAAGGAAAGGTTTACAAGACAGTGGTGAGACCAGCTATGTTGTATGGTTTGAAGACACCGGCATTGACAAAACGACAGGAAAAATAACTGGAAGTAGCAAAAATGAAGATGTTGAGGTTCTCCTTAGGAGTGACAAGTATGGATAAGATTAGGAATGAGATTAGCAGAGGTATAGCACAGGTTGAATAACTGGGAGATAAAGTTAGAGAGGCCAGACTGAGATGGTTTGGACATGTCCAGAGCATTGACAGGGAGTATATTGGTAGAAGGTTGTCAGAAATGCAGCTGCCATGAAAAAGACAAAGAGGAGATATATGGATGCAGAGGACATGGAGGTAGTTAGAGTAAGGACAGAGGATGCAGACGACAAGTGAGATGGAGGAAGATGACTCGTCGTGGTAACCGCTTGAAGATAGGAAAAAAAAAAAAAAAAAAAAAAAAGATTATTATTATTATTATTATAACAAGATGTCAAGTAAAAAAAAGAAAAAAGAAAAAGAAAAGCCAAAATACAAATTGTAATTTGGAGCCAGTCAATAAACTTTTGAGATATGATTGAAATCACAGTGTAAAGTTATAGACTGAGTGCTATCATTTATCACACAATGAAGAAACGTGTTAATACACAGTTAAACTGAAGCTGTGAAATTTCAAATTCAAAGGATTAAATTTGAGGAAGACATTTTGGAAGGAAGGACGACAACAGATGAAAAAAACTTTTTGACCATATTCTCAGCACAAAGAATAAACTTGTTTTACAAAAACATGAAGGATGTACTAATTGTAGCCAATATGCTTGTTTATATTATGCATACTGTTGTTATCACGCTTTGTTAAAATCAAGTCTCTTGTAAATGAGTCCCCAAGGCTCAATGATACTAACCTGTATAAATAAAGGCTGAATGAATGTAAATAGGTTTGAGCCAAATAAATGAGGTGTTGCAAGTGCATTTGTTTTTTTGATTCTGGAAAAATGTTTTAGTCAAAGCTGTGCTCGGACACTTTAAACTCAGACAGAGAGACATTTGGGAGATTATTATTATTATTTGGCAGCATGACGGATCAGTGGTTAGCACTATTGCCCCACAACAAGAAGGTCCTGGGTTCAATCCCCATTTGGACCTGGGGTCTTTCTGTATGGAGTTTGCATGTTCTTCTTGTGCTTGCGTGTGTTTTCTCTGGGTACTCTGGTTTCCTCCCACAGACCAAAAACATGCATGTTAGGCTGCCTTCAGGCCCAGGCCTCCCTTGCAAAAGAAATCTGTGGTCTCAATGGGATTTGTCTGGTTAAACAAAGGTTAACATCTCGTGATGTCTCTGAGCAGGACACCTTATCCCCAGATGCTCCCCATGAGCTTTCAATAGCTGCCCACTGCTCCATCTGGTGGTGGATGGATTCAATGCAGAGAGCCAATTTCACTATTGTATGGGAACATACAATGATGACAATACATAACATATTATTTTATTAACCTTTATTTAACCAGGCAAATCATTAAATTAATAAATAAATAAATTAACATTTGTTCAATGTATACCTGGAGGTAAAATGCTCTAAAATGAGTGTAACAAACAGAAAGACAAAAAGAACAACATCAAGGACATAAATAAAACTCTTGGTCTAATCAGCAGGCTGTGAAGGAATACCATACTGTTCAGAATCAGTGACTTTAAAGTAAGTCCACCTTTATTGCTTTAAATTTGGTCCAACTGCTATGAACTAGTAAAAGCTTGTGGGTTTTATTTTCCCTGCTGGACAGCAATTCATAAATTGTCCTGGTTTCTTTTACCTCATTGAGGTTGTAGACTTTATTGAGGACAGCAAGATGATAAACAGTGGTGTTTTAGAGCCCACTTTACATCAGTTCCTTTATTATTACAGCAGCTGATGAGTTTTTATTTTATTTTATTTTTTAGCTAAAATACATGATGACTGGATTAAAATACTGAACAAATGAGGTCACCTATCTAAAACCGACCTGTAATATGGCTAATAAATAATATTGTTATATTAAGAATGTAATTCTAAACATTTGTGTTATGCTTAGAACTTTAATAATGTTTTTTTTTTACTTAATATTACAGATCTTATTGTGGGCTGAGTACATGGAAATCATTAAAGGTAAAAAATTCCCCAAATGTTTTTTTGGGTTTTTTTTATCCACAGAAACCAGTACGGTTAGTTCAGTTGAACTGTAGAGGAGTGGTTATTGACTGCATTTGAATATTTCTTAAATTAGATAATAAACCCGTACACTAATACATTTCTGTCCTGGTATCAGTGAGCTCAAATCCAAATAATAACATTGAGAAAACATAAAAATTACCTACTTCAGCTCTCTGTATTCCCCCTCTCCTTTAAGTTGACACAAGTTATAAACATGAGTTTAGGAATGACCTGAAAATAGCAGCAGCCACTTTTGTTTCATAACAGACATTGTGTTAGACACCTATGTTATCGGACATGTTTGAGCTGGTTACTCCCATCAGCAAAAAGAAGAACAACTCCTACATCCTTTTTGTATAACTGCCAGGGTTTCTTCTTAAACTGTCAGGGTCAAGACCTTTTGATAACCTTTAGATGCATTTTGGGGTTTTAATAATAAAGAATAACTTCCATTAGTTCATCTTCATTGTTGCTGTGCTACTTTCAATTAAATCAATATTTCATATATTTTTCTCATTTTTGTTTGTTTTAGGCTGTCACAAACAGTCAACAGTCTGTTTCTAAACATATGTTGAATCTGCACCAAACTTTCCTTGAAGTTGGACCTCCAGTATCAACTCAACTAGGAGGATCACAATGACTTGGGTACGCTGCATACAGACAGTTCAGAAACACATTGTTTTCTAGATAATGATGTGATTTTTTTTCATGAAATTTCCATGACTGCATAAAAGATTTTCTTGTCTTCCAGTTTATGAAAATGATTCTGTTCAGGTTCAGTTCTGAAGATTATCAAAGATCCACTTCCACTCTCTGTGGAGTCGGGTTAGAAAGCGTCTGATCCAGGCAGTCCTCTTGTGTCTCTGTAAATCCTTGTCAGCTGAAGAGGCTGTGGCCAAAACAACAGGGCTGATGTCTCTGCTGTCCCTGAAGCTCAACAATCAGCAGGTCAGATGTTGCTTTTCAGTGTTCAACTCCTCACCAATCCCACAATCATCAGTATGGCGAGAAAAGAATAGGTCTATGACTCGCTCTGATGGGTCCGGGGGCCGGGCGCAGGAAGGAGGTGCTGAAGAGGGACGACGTTGGCGAGGGGCGAGGATGGAGAGAAATAGTGGGGGTGAGGGATGAGGGGTTGGGTGAGAGGAAGGGTGAGGAGGAAAATGAGGAGGAAAATGAGGAGGAAGGGAGGGAAATAGGAGAAGGGAGCGGGGAGGGAGAAGGAGCAAAAGGAGTGGAGAGAAAGGAGGGAGCGATTGTAGGTTTCACCAGCTCCTTCTGAGGAAACAAGGACACAATAAGATAATATTAAACACATAAGAACAAGGAGGTGACAACAGGAAATGAGGAAAAAATGAAAACAGAAAATCAAAAAAGAGAATGAAAAGAAGGTAAACATTGACACAAAGTCATAAAAAGCAAGTGAATAAACAAGAATAAAAGAAAACACAGAGGAAAAATGTTTAAAAAATGGTAAGGAGCAAGGAATTGGTCAGAGGGTAAAAGACAATTTGATTCAGTTCAGTTTAATTTTATAGTGCCAATTCATAACAAATGATTAGATTAATTGATTTCATGGATAAATATAACTCAGTATCATCTGCATAACAATGAAAATTGATCCCATGCCGTTTAACAAATTTACCTAACTGAAGCATATATAAAGTAAAGAGTATTTGTCCAAGCACTGAACCCTGAGGCACTCCATGACTAACTCTGGTGCTTCCAGAGACACGTCACTGCTTGCCTTTTTTATCCATTTCCTCATTGGACAAATCACTCTTCTCTTGAATGGGCGGCTGTGGCTGAGTGGTTAGAGCAGTCGTTCTTCAATGCAAGAGTTGAGGGTTCGAATCTACCAGCAGTCACACGTTGAAGTGTCTCTGGGCAAGACACTGAACCCCTCATAGCCTCTGATGTGTGTCCCATCAGTGTATGAATGTGATCTCAAAGCACTGATTAGTCTCTTTAGAATGATTTGTTCAATTAGCTTTGTATAAATCTAGTAGAGTGCTGTATGAATGGGTAAATGAGGACACAGATTGTGGTGTAAAGCGCTTTGAGTATCTTGAAATAAGATAGAAAGACGCTATATAAGTACAGTCTATTTACATTTAAATCACTCAGCCACCTTGTAAGCGCTAAATTTTCTCTTTACTTTGACAACTTTTAGTTGAACAGCCCCCAATCCCCGCTCGTGGCGCACGCAGGCTAAAAAATAATTTTAAAATTTGTTTCCTACTTCCATTTTATATTTTGTCCATGAACATTGCACATCCATGTGAAAAAAATTTCATTGGCTGTTTGTATGTAGCAACAGAACAGGCATGAGAGCTGATTGGTCAGTTCAGTATGCAAAAGAGTGTGAATGTTCCCGGTCAGACCACGATGCTTAGTCAATATTATTGGCTCTAGAGAGATCGTACATCCACCTGATTGGTCAAAAGAGGAGTCAGTTAATAGGGTCGACACCATGTTATTTAAATTAGAAGCACTGGTAAAGCGTAGCAACTTTTAAAAACAGAAAGATGTCATGATGGCCTGAGGGTGGGCCATTGCCATTTAATAAATAATAATAAATTATGACTTTTAATATTTGCATGAATATTCAAGTCCATCAAACTTACAACTTTATCAGTATGCAATACTATGTCAGATAAAGTCTGAAAACTCAGACAAATGCTGAGAATATGTGCCTGGTGAACAATATTCAACAAATAAATTGTTTTTTTTCTTCTGATTTCCATTTTGGATGAGAAAGACAGAGGGTCCAAGACTCAAAAAAGGTTTTTATTAATATTTGATTTAGCGTTAATCAATAATCCTGACAGAAAAATTGCAATTACTGTTCTCCTCCTCGAGCTTTTCTTTAAGAAATGTGAAAATTTACAGAAAGAGTGGATGATTTATATGAACAAACCCCCCTCATGTAGGCAGTTATTTAATACAAAATAAATCAAACAAAGACAAACAAGAATACAGTTAGAGGAAGTGATAAGAGCAAACAAGGATACAAGAAGAGAATAAGACATTTTTAAAATAAAAGAAAGCAAAGATCAAGAAACAAAGGGAAAGAAAAATAAATAAAGAATACAAATGAAGAAGAGAATTAGGCAAGTAACTGAATAATAATAATATATATTTTTTTTCATTTAGCCTTTATTTATACAGGTAGTCTCATTGAGCCATGAGAACTCATTTTCAAGAGAGACCTGATTAGGGAGCACATGGTGGGGGTTAGGGGCCTTGCTCATGGGCCCAGGGTGGGGCGAATGAGGGTGGGGGCAGGTGTGGGTGTTTCACCTACCCCACCCACAATTTTTGATGTTGTCGGGGCCGGGGTGTGAACCAGTGATCTTTGGATCACAGGCCCACCTCTCTAACCTCTGCGCCACCACTCCCCCAAATAATTGTGCATATAGGATGACAAACAAATGGTCTCTGGTTATCAACTATGTAGATTTATTGATCTGAGGAGGAGAAAAAACAAGTTCTTACAGTGAGTGAGCTGCCCCGCTGTTTATTATAAGGGCTGTATTTGGGTTTGGTGGGTTTTCCTGCCACTCGGTCCTTGTGCCTCCTGCTGGAAATGTGCTGCAACATGAAGAACACCGACAGGCTGAAAACTAGGACAAGGACTAAAGGGACATTCAAGAGACAATAGAATCCTATCAAGCTGCACAAAAGGACAAACATAAATCTTTAAGATATTAATTTTCAAACCAACTCCCAGTGACAAATTTAAAAGGTTCAGACCAAATCACAATAGCACAGAAAAGTTCAAGGATTGTGTATCACTTCATTACAATCAAGCCCCTAAACATTTTATTTAATGTCTTTTCTGAATATCTAATTTACATCATACAATTTGGTATTTATTTCACTAAAAGTAGTTTGTATGTATTGTAGCAGTACAGTATGTATGTTTTGTCTCAGCAGACATTTTACTCCAAGAGTTCATGATGAATCTGTTCCAGTCTCTGTGAGCCTCAACAATGATGTGAATCATCACAAAAAACAGCCGAATCCAGAAAATGCTAATTATCACTTTCTTTGCTTGCGTCCAATTTTCATTTTCACATAATATGCTGAGATATTAAAGCTACACTGCAAAGTAAACAAAAGTCAACCAACTTTGTGAAACTAAGACTTTCATTACCAAAACAAAAACAAGCGGTATGCCAACATCCCACGTTGCTGATGGGTTTGAACAGTGAATGTTTGTAGTTTTCGAAATGAGTGTTTGGAGTGAAACTGAACGAAGGAATGCAAGTAAACCTCAAGGTTTTTAGTGCAAGCTATTCAATAGGGTAGGAGTTGTGCTGTGTGTAAGAAGAGAGGTAGGATTTATTTATTTTTTGCTTGTCTGACAGAGTGACAGATCCTGGCTAGCAGAGGGAGCTAGCCAGGCAGTGGCCAATGGTGGCCTTGGTAACTATAGATTATTGTCACCCGAATTATTTGAGAAACCTATACTTTTAAGTAACGTAAGATCTAGAAAGCATAGTAGGCAGCAGGGTGGCGCAAGTGGTAGAGCTGCTGCCTCTCAGCGAGCAGGTCACCCTGGTTCAAATCCCAGTCCAGGGGCCTTTATTGGTGGAGTTTGCATGTTTTCTCCATGCATGCGTGGGTTTTCTCCAGGTACTCCAGTTTTCTCCCACAGACCAAAAACACGCATGTTAGACTGACTGGTAACTCTAAATTGTCCCTAGGTGAGAGCGAGAGAGTGAATGGTTCTTTGTCTTGTTTGTCTCTATGTGGCCCTGTGATGGACTGGAGATGTGTCCAGAGTGGCCCCCCACCTCTCTTACAGTGATGGTTGGACATGGGCACCAACAGTGACCCCCGCGACCCAAAAAGGAAGAAGAGGGTAAAATATAATGGATGGATAGAAAGCATAGTTTCTTCAAATGATGAGGGTGTCTGGTTTACATAGAAATACGGTGGTGGCCATCTTGGATTTTGATGAGGCAACCCAATTTTTGATGGTGACTTTTCTTACACCTAGATACAGCCTCAAACCAAAACGAAAGTTGGCAAGTTGCTTAATTTTGAAGTTATCCAGTTCACAAATTTTATATATTTATTAATATGGTGGCAGCCATCTTGAATACTTATTTGGCAACCCAAAGGGACCTTTCTTACGCCTAGGCACACACCCAAATGGAAGACGATATATCACTTATTTTTCAAGTATTTCAAAGTATACGTGCATTTGTTATGGATAAAATAAAGTTTAAATTGCAATTAGATGTTGTTTGAGTACAATTATTCTATGAATTAATATATGAAGTACAACAAGTGAGCAAGAGAGAAGTAATAGGAAGTAAAGACCAAACCATTTTTCAGGGGGACTTTATGAATCTGTGAGTCTATTTTTATTGCTGTAAATATATTGCAAAATCTATAATACCTAAATATTTTAGCATTATTAAAAACTCTTTAACATGTAGCTCAAATGTTATTGCAGGAAATAAATTGTCCCTTCAGCTATATAATAACATCTTGAAATGAATCAGTCCAGAACCATTAGAGTAAAATGTGAAGATAAGAAGTTACAGAAGGAGCAAAGATGTAATTGTAATAAAACAAAAAGAAAGAAGTCGTCACTTTATTTGACAGCATCTGTGTGTTGTGAGCTCCTACCTGTTTAAGTTGGATCTCAGAGTTGACATGGACGTTGCATATCTGACAATGGAAGGTTTTGTTCTGCAGCCCAGAGCCATTCATTCTCGAGCTGCTGCAGCTCTTCAGCTTGGCTCCTGGTCGAGGGTAAGCTTTGATCGGCCCTGCACCGCTGCGAGCCTCCAGCATTGTTTTGTGCTTTGAACCTGAAAGAGTTTTTAAAAAAATCATTGAAGTCTTCTCTTTATCCTCTTAGGTATCTGATTTTATTATTATTAACCTTTATTTAACCAAGCAAATCCCGTAGAGATCATAGATCTATTTTGCCAGGGAAGTCTGGGCCTGAAGGCAGACTAACATGGACATTTTTTTTTCATTCAACCTTTATTTAGACAGGTAAATCCCATTGAGCCTCGAGGACTCATTTACAAGAGAGACCTGATTTCAACAAAGAATGACGACAACAATGGACAACAGCGACAACAATAAACAGTTATAAAAAGTCATACTACAGTTTTTTTTTTAACAAATAGGATGGCTAAAAGAAAAAGGTAACAAAAAACAGCTAGATTCTAAGGCGAATGTAGAAAACTAAAAACAGGCACATGTCTGCATTTGTCCCTGCCAGTAGTCCAACAGATTCTTAAAGCCACTTAGAGAGGTCAAGGTCGAGAGCTTCAAATCTTTTTGTAAGTTATTCCAGGAAACAGGAGCGGAGTAGGAGAAGGCCCTCTTGCCTAGTTCAGTCCTCAATGAGGTAACACTGCAGGTAATAACGTCCTGAGAGTACACGCCATAGCTGCACTCACGCAGAGACATGTAGGAGGAGATGTATGAAGGCAGCAGACCAAGAAGTGATTTAAAGATGAAAATGTACCAGTGGGAGAGTCTGCATGAAGTTAATGATGTCCAGTTAACCAGTGAATACAGGGTGCAGTGGTGGGTACGATAATCACAGCCAGTTATGAATCTTAGTGCACCATGATAGACAGCATCCAACATCTGCAGGGTTCTTGTAGGAGTGTTCATGTAAATAATGTCACCGTAATCAATGGAGGGAAGGAAAGTCACAGATACAAGGCGTTTCCTAGCATTCAAGGTTAGACAGGATCTATTTCTGAAAAAGAAACCCAGTTTAACTTTCAGTTTCTTTACCAAGTTTTCCACATGAAGCTTAAAAAAGAGATGTGAGTCGACCAAAATACCCAAATATTTACAGGAATCAACAAACTCAATTGGGACACCATTTGAGGATAAAATCGGAGGAAGAACTGCTGGGACCAACTTCCTATTTGAAAAAAGCATCCCTTTGGTTTTCTTGGCATTTAGGACAAGTTTGAGGCGGAACAAATCTGTTTGGATGTTGTTGAATGCAGATTTCAAAAGCTGGAAAGCCTTATCAACAGTTTTAGCTCGACAATAAACAACTGTGTCATCAGCATAGAAATGTATGGATGCATTAGGGATGTTTTTACCTACGTTATGTATGTAGATTGTAAAGAGGGTGGGTCCTAAGACTGAGCCTTGTGATACACCATTGTTGACTGTTAAATAACTGGAGGAAGTACTATTATGTTGAACACATTGCCTCCGGTATGAGAGATAGTTAGAGAACCAACCAATGGTGTGTTCTGAGAAACCGATTTCTGAAAGTTTATGACATAAGATGTTATGATCCACAGTGTCAAAAGCTTTAGGCAGGTCTAAGAAAAGTGCAGCACAATAATCCTTAGCATCCAGTGCTTCAACAATGTCATTAAGAACCTTCAGTGAAGCAGTTGTTGTGCTGTGTTGTTTCCTGAAACCAGATTGATGTGGAGGTAAGATGTTAAATGAGTCCAGGTAATTTTTGATTTGAGAGTTTATCAGTTTTTCTAGAACCTTGGCTAAAATACAGAGTTTAGAGATTGGCCGATAGTTGTTCAGTGAGGTGGGGTCACCTCCCTTCAGCAAAGGAAGAACAAAGGCTGTTTTCCAAGTGTCTGGGATGGAATTTTGTCTTATGGAGAGATTGAAGATGTGGGTCACAGGGACTGTGATGATCTGAGCAGCCAGCCTTAAGAAATAAGGTGGAAGTTCATCTGGACCTGCAGATTTTTTAGGATCAAGATCTTTTAACAGTTTATTGACCTCACTGACTGAGAACGGAGAAAAAGAGAAGCTGTGTTTAACTGAGGATTGACTTGTAGGAGGGATTTGATTTGTAGAAGTTTGGTTATTAAGTGAAGTGGCTGATTTTCCATTAGTAACTGTGTCAAATAAAGAACTAGAAGCAACAAAATGTTTGTTGAAACAGTTCGGGATCTCGTGCTTATTTGACACAGGAACAGAGTTAACGAGAAATTGTGATGGGAGGTCAGATGATTGGGGGGTGCCTGAGAGAGATTTGATGGTTTTCCAGAATCTGTTGGGGTCATTTAGATTTTTGGAGGTCTGTGTAGTGAACTAGGCCTGAAGGTCAAAACCTTGACCTAAGGACCATATGGGACCAAAACTGTCATTTCATTGATTTGAATCCAGAAATACAGGTTGACCCATCCTGAGACTTTCTTTCTTGAATTCAACTCTTAAATTGTTGTCAGCAGCAAACTGGTTGATCCACTCTAAGAAGGTGCTATTTAAGAGACTGAGCTGAAAACAGCACCTCAGACTGAGGAAGTCTCTTGGATGAGAGACGAAACGTTTTTAGATTTCTTTTGCTTTGTTTTGCTTTTGTTTTTTTGAATGTCCAGAGGACCAGATTGAACTTTTTTGGAAAGTACCCTTATCCAGGTGGCCAATGACTCAGCTCCATCAGGAACTGCCAAAGGTCACCGATGGTAAGTACTTCTCGACCCTCGACGTCGCCTCTGGTTTTTGGACCATCCCTGTGTGCGCCGAGGACCAACACAAACTAGCTTTCACTTTTGCCAGCCGACAATACACCTTTACCAGGTGTCCCTTTGGCTACGCTAACTCACCTGCAGAGTTCAACATCTTTTTGAACAAAGCATGTCCAGACGCCCACGAGCGTGGGACACTGATCTACGTGGACGACATCCTTTTGAGGCAGCCAACACTGGACTCTCATTTGGCTGAGATCGACCACATCCTAAATCAGCTAACAACTGCTGGTGCTAAAATCTCACTGTCAAAATGCCAGTGGTACAGAACCAAGGTGGATTACGTGGGCCTCCTAGTAGGTCCAGACGGAATACAACCACAATTGACTCGCACCCAAGGCCTGGACAACCTCAAAGTCCCAACCAATCTCAAAGAACTACAGAGTTTCTTGGGAGTGTGTAATTACTCTCGCCAGTTCATAGAGCATTATGCGGATCTCGCAAAACCACTGACTGAACTCTTAAAGAAAGACGTTCCTTTTGTCTGGACTGATACACAGCAGCAGGCAATGAACGCTCTTAAAGACAGGCTCAAGTTAGCCCCATGTCTAGTCTACCCAGACTACAACAAAGAGTTCTACTTGGAAGTGGGCTTCTCACCTCACTGCATGAGTGCAGGTCTGTACCAAATACACGACAAAGACAAGCGTGTTGTGGCCTACGCCAGCAAAACAATGGCAGGCCCTGAATTACGGTACTCAGACTGTGAGAAGGCTCTATTGACCACTGTGTGGGCAGTGAAACATTTCTCCTGCTATATTGGTGGACAGAGGATTATTGTTGAGACACAACACCAGCCAGTAACGTTTCTGAACAGCCAACACATCAGAGATGGTGTGGTGACAAACTCACGTGTTGCAACATGGCTTATGGCACTTCAAAGTTTTAACCTAGACATCCACTATGGTCAAAATAAGAAGTCACACTTGGGCACTGATTTGGCAATCTGCCAAGAATGTACACAGGATGTACCAGCCACCCAACAGCTGGTTGTGAGTAAACCCTCAGCTGCTGAGGACCCAAATCACCACGTCTTTGATAGCAATATCTGTAAAGATATGGCGACATTGTACGTGGATGGATGCTCATTCTACCACGAGAAAGTCTGCAAAGCCGGTGTTGGAGGAGTTCTCCTCCAGGACCTAGAACAGGTCACATTTGGCTATAAATTGGGCTCTCAGTCTTCTCAGTACGCTGAGATAGCTGGAATCCTAATAGGCCTACAGATGGCAGTGGAACGCTCCATCCAGACGCTAGTCATCTGCACTGACTCTAACTATGCTTGACTCAGTTTCTTGTGTCATCTCGCTCTGTGGAAACAGAACGGTTTTCTCACAAGCAACAAAAAGGTGGTAAAACAAAGAGCTTTTCATGACATGTGATCACTTAGTGACATCACATGATCTACAGATCTTCTGGAAGAAAGTTCCAGGACACTCCAGAGTCCCAGGCGATGACAAGCACTACAAAGACCTTGCAGACTCCCTAGCCAAGGAAGGAGCCGTTGACGGACCCACGTAGTCCTTTAACCCCTCCTGGCTACTCAACACTCAGTTGTCACAAGCCACAACTGAGGTAATGGCAGTCACACGTGCACAAGCTGCAGCTGAACCTGCTGATAACACAGTTTCTGTGCGCCCGATGCTGACTGACCCAGACATCATCCAACTTCAGAAGTTGGATCCTGCAATTAACTCGATGATGCTGTATCTGACTGACCCAGACAAATACACTCCATCGAAAGGCGAACTGGATTCCAATCCAGACCTCAAAGTCCTCTTTCAGCTGCACAAACAGCTAAAACTACTTAAGGGCATCCTAACTTTTGCTCATGGACGGACGTCCTCACCTGTGTTCGTGGTCCCCCATGACCACAGGGGGGTGATGTTAGTTCATGCACATGACCTTCCGTCCGCAGGACATAAGGGTGACAATGCCACGCTGAAAGCATTAAAACAGATTGCTTATTGGCCTGGAATGAAAAAGGATGTCAAAGACTACATAAAAGGGTGCCTGGTCTGTGGCCAGTTTCAGCCATCCAGACCACTCCACAGAGCACCACTGCATAGTAGAGGCATTGCATTTCCATGGTCGGACCTCCAGATTGACTGGGTCGGACCACTCACTAAGACCTCTAGAGGAAATAAATATTTTCTCACGGTAACCTGCGCGTTTACCAAATGGGTAGAATGTCTACCAGCCCCTAATGACACAGCACAAACCACTGCTATGTTATTAATGAATCATGTATTCTCAAGGTTTGGACTTCCCCTCAGGGTGAACTCAGACCAAGGTACACACTTCACAGGTGAAGTAATGAAGGA